TAGAAAACTGGAAGGAATATGTTTGACACAAAATGGAATGGCCTAATCAAGGGGGCTTTAAGCTAAAAATGGATAGAGAAAGGAAAAAAAGGTTCAGATAACATAATAGGTCAGTAATGAAGGATGTGCCCTAACAACTGCAAAGCAGTTTAGAAACAAGTCTCATGATCTCATCAGCCAGCTTACCAGTGTAAACAGCGTATGGGTAATAAAATGAACTGGAAATCTTAATATAAGGTGGGATTAACCACAGGACCTTATTTATGGTATTCAGATCATAAATTCAGAGCTGGAGAGGATCAGTCCAGCCCCCCTGTTGTATAGATGAAGAAACAAAAGCCAAGTGTTCACATCAATGAAGGTCAGTAGCTCCACTGGAACTCTTTATGCAGGAGGCACCACTGGAACCAATATGTTCTGTTCTGGACATTATGTTTTAAAGAGGGCAGTGGAAGTCAGCTCTGGGAGAGTGAAAGGAGCCCTGAATTCAGAGTTGGGTGGGTGCCTTGGTTTAAAATCCAAGTTCTTCTAATTGGCTGTGTGATTCTAAGTAAGTCAGTTGAGTTCTCTGGGCCTCAGTTTCCTAGAGAAAACTAAAGAAAAAAGATGTATGTGTGGATGAGGAGGATAAACTATAAATAACTCTACAAATATTTGAAGAGCTGGAAAATGGAAGAGGGATTAGTTTCCAAGAGAAGAAAAGATGTTGGGAGTAGAAGTGTGTAAGGAGATAACTTCAGATATCTAAAGGGTTGTCCCTTGGTAGGGGACTAGACCCACAGCAATATTCAGAAGCTAGAGGGATGCTGATTTTAGCTAAATGCAAGGAAGACCTTCTTAAAAATAGAACTGTCCTTAAACATACTGGACTCTCTCAAAAAGCAGTAAGCTCCCTGTCACTGGATACCTTCAGGCAGATGTTGAATGACCATCTGACAGAGATGCTGTGGGAGATTAGACTAGATGAACTCTTAAGATTTCCAGATTGAGTTCCCAGGATTAATATTAAAATGTAAGTTTTCAAAGTTTTTAACATTTTAAGTATTTGAGCAATTCCACCTCACTTAAAATCAGAGATACAAGTTGAAACAATTCTGAGATATTACCTCAGACTCATCAAATTGGGAAAAAATTAAAAGGACAGAACTCAAAGTTAGTGGGTTTGTAGAGAAACAGACACACTCATTCATTGGTGTTAGAACCACAAACATAAAGAGTCTTTTTGAAGAGTAATCTGCAATATACTGAAAAAAAAAAATCCATAATGCCCTTGGGCAATAATTCCATTGTTGGAAATATACAAAGAAAGCATTTGGAAAAATTAAAAAAATTATCTGTACAAAGATCTTCACAGGAAGATTACATGATATATATATATAAAACTGCAAAACACTAGAAGCAACCTACATGCACAGTAATAATTTTTGTCCAACAAAATAAGGTGCAATATGACCATACAATGAAATACGACAGGTATAAAGCATAACAAAATATCAGGAAAGATCGACATGAAATCACACAAGTGAAAAAAGCAGAATCAAAAGACTGGAACACATATTCACTATAACCATACGAGTCAAAATGAACAACAGTGAAGATAATCCTAATCAAGACTCAGAGCAGTAATTCTTAACTTTTTTTGTGTCACAGACCCCTCTGGAAGTCTAGGGAAACCTTTCTCAGAAGAGTTTTTAAGAGGCATTAAATATACAAGATTATAAAAGAAACCAATGATATTCAAATACAATTTTAAAAAACAATTTGACCGACACTACATTAAGAACCCTGGACTAAGAGGGACTGAAAAACTGTTGTAATCTTTTATGCACTGAAACTGATTAACCTAAATGTAAATCGTTACTCTAAGCAAATTTAAGTTGGTTGTATTGAAAAGTTAGTCTTTTATTAAAACATTAAAATCTTTGAGCACTTAAAATATTTCATAAGTTTGAAAAATTATGACTTAGAACCTCTCCAAAGTCCTCTCCTAGAACCTCAAAGGGGACCACTGAGGGTGAGGTCAAAAGGAGCACTAACTTTGGTGTCACCAAGCAAGTACAGGTCTGGAGATCTGCCCAACCCAAGCACAGATGTCCCTATGTGACCCACTTTTTTGGGCCTTCATCTCCTCTTCTACCAAGTGAAGGGGTCTCTACAATCCCCTACAGCTCCAAGCCTATTATCCTGGGGCCAACTTTGCTAAGTCCAGAGAGGTTCATCAACAAAACAGTGACCACCAGATGGATATTTTGGCCATAACTCAGGAAACACAAGAGAGCTGGTGAAATGCGCCCACAAAGACAAGATCACACATCTTTCAAAGTTATGAAATACGGGGAAAAACCACATCTGCATTCGTGAGAGTACCGAAACAAAGCTGAATTTAGGACATCTGCTTTTAATAAGACATAAGGAGAAAATGTCACCCACAATTCCTCCCACTTTTCTCTGTTCAAAGTAAATAATTCAATTGCAACTAAAAACGAACAGTTTTCAACTTCTAACACAGGACTTCTGTGTACATTCCATTTAATCTCAGTTCTCTTAATGGTCCTTTGAATCCAATTTCTACAAAAGAAACAAGGTCACCTCAGGCTATTTTCATAATTAGCCAGTTTCCAACACAATTTGTTTTGGGGCACTTTCCATTTGATTTCCAAGTCACCCCCTCCCTCCCCCACCCCACCACTCCCCATTGCCTCCAGGATCAAATGCAAAATCCTTTATTTTGTGTTAGAAGCACTTCACAACCTGCCCTCTCCTACCTCTGCAGGCTTCTGACCTCTCAAGCCTCCCACCACACTCTTCAAATCCAGTGATCCTGATCTGGCTGTTCCACAAATAAGACACTCCATGTCTTGACTCTGGTCATTCTCTCTGGATGTTCCCCATGTCCTCTACTCCAATACTGACCTCCCTGGCTTCCTTTATGTCCCATCTAAAATCCCATCTTGTACAGGAAGCCTTTCCCAAACCTTTTTAATTTTAGTGCCTTCCCTCTGTTAATGATTTCCTATTTATCCTGTCATTAGTCTGTATACATTTGTTGGCTTGTTACCTCCCTCTCCCCCTCACAATTAGATTGTGAGCTCCTAAGGGTAGGTGACTGTCTTTTGTCTCTTTCTGTGGCCCCCAGAGCTTAGAACAGTGCCTGGCACATAGTGGGCACTTAATAAATGTTTACTGACTAATACAAAATTGTGCAGTAATTGATGTCTAATCTCTTCTCCCACCAACCCATTCTAGGCAGAAGTCTATTCATGTCACTACCCTAACTCTTGTTCTCCCCACTGCCTGGAGGAAAAAAAGCTCCACAGTCTGCCTCCAACTTGCCTTTCCAGCATAGTCCACTCTACATTCCAGCCATGCTGATCACCATTGCCCATGCCACACCCTCCTCATCTCTGACTCTGAAATCTTGGCTCCTGTAAAGCTGAGCCCAGGGGGCTCCCCCTCTACAAAGCTTCCCCAGATCCTCCCAGGTGTTGTGCTCTCTCCCCTTACACAGATCTCCAGCAGAATATAACCTCCATAAAGGGAGGCACTATTTGGTTTAGTCCTTCATACCCCTGGAACTACCAGTGTTTGGCACAGAGCAGGCAGTTAACATTTGTAAAGGTGACCTCCTTGCCTGAATCCCTTTCTTAATGCCCATCTCTGGACGGGACACATACAATGCAAACAGATAAAGGGCACACCTCAGGAACATGTGCTTTCCCTGACACAGACCTCTTTACAAAGACTCTCTTCTCCTCCCTTCCAGCTGTCATCCTCATTGCCCCTTTACCCTGGATGCTCTGACAGGTGAGCCCGACCACAAACAGGCTTTCCTCATCACTTTCTAGTTATTTCCAAATGATGTCCCAGCACAAGTGCCGACCTTCTCCCTCTAACTCTATTTCACATCTTGTCTTCCCATCATATGATGCAAAATCCCTGAGGGCAAGACTGTATTGTTTACTTGTATTTGTATCCCCAGCACTTAGCAAAAGACCTGACACAAAGTAAGCACTAAACAAATCTATAATCATTTATTCACCATTCTACTCCCCCCAGCTCAGCAGGGCAGTCTGTAGGAGCTGTTGGGGCCAAAAACCACATTGCCATCTGTTGGCCAATCTCTGATTAATGCTATCTCCACGTACTAGATCCACTTTCTCAATGAGCATCACAATGACATGCATGTCACATTAGACTCAGAAGAGCCCCCTCAAAATCTTCCAGTTTAACCCTCTCATTCTACAGATGGGGAACCTCTGTTATTGTTGTTGTTCACTTGTTTTTTCCAGTTGTGTCTGACTCTTCGTGACCCCATTTGGTACTTTCTTGGCAGGGACACCGGAGGGTTTGCCATTTCCTTGAGGCAAAAAGGGTGAAGTGACTTGCCCAGGGTCACCCAGCTACTAAGTATCTGAGGCCACATTTACCTGCCCCCCGGGGAACGTTAGGCTCAGCTAAGTCACGTGCCCAGTTCTGAAACCTGAATCCAAGTCTCCTTCATCTAGAAGCAGGGCAGTGCTTGCCCCCTCCCAATCTGCTCCCACTCTCTCACTTAAATGTACAGCGCTGAAAGAAAAAAGAGAATTTCAAACAACAGGACAGGAAACTCCACTGTGCCAAGAGGAGCACGAAATCCCCAGCAGCAGCTCTGGAGCTGATCAAGCATTTTCCTTCCAACAGCCCTATGAAGGACTTCAGCCTCCCATCCGGCCACTCTACAGATGAAGAGTCAGGTTAATGAGCAGGCACACTGGGTCTGACCTCCTCTGCCATGCTCAGGCCCTGGGTCCAGCACAGAGCAGCAGCAGGAGAGCCCGCCCTCCCCAACTGACTAGGCCAAGATGCTGCTGGCCTTCCACCTGCGTAGGCTACACCAGGGGCCAAGGTCCCCCTGCCTCTGAACACAGAAGAGGCCAGTCAAGAGACGTGACCTTCTTTAGCCAATGCATACGATTCCATTCTTTGCAAAGCTGCACAATATGTTTTATTGCAATACTCACCGGTGCTACTATTTTCCCCGTCTGTCCAACTTGCAGGTCATTGGGTACAAAGCCGGCATCAACAGCAGCACGGGAAGCACCAACTATGGAAGGAAAAAAGAGGCTGTTTTTTCCAAATTCTGCGGCCCAGTCCATCATCAATGAAGACTGAAGGGACCGGCCCACATTGGGAAACTTCCTTTTAAATACCTAACTTTGAAGAAAATTTCACGCCACTGATGGAGACACCTGGATCCTAAGCATTAAGGCCTTTAAGGACCAGATCATCAGGAAACCTCTACACTTTACACGCAAGGGTTTTAGACTTTCTACGGGAGACAGAAATCAGGCTTAAATGCTGTACTTGCTTTACCAAAAAAGAATCTGTAATAGGCACACTCTGACCTTCTGAGACATGGCTCCTGGGTGTTCTCACTCCAGGCACTTCTTGCCCCTTTTGTGTCCCCTACATCCAGCCAAATGAAACATTTCCTGAAAAGGCTCTGGACTCCACCCCAACCCCCAGTCCTCATCTATTAATACAACTCTCTACATCTGAAATGCCCTCTTTCCTCTCCTGTAAAAACCTTACTCCACAGACATCAGTCCATTTCCCAGCATGGGCAGACCACAGTGCTAGGTGCTAAAGGAGATAAAGCATTGAGACACCAACCCTGCCCTCCTGGAACAGATATCACACGGTAAGTGCATCCGAGAAGGCCGCCTTCTCCAGCCGGGCCCCAAAGGTGTTTCTCGTGCTCTCTTCTCTGTCACTATTTGGATCCATGCCTCACTCTCACCAATGGACAACAGGCTCTTCCAAGGCAAGGACTGTGCCGTATTTGTCTGTGTCCCCCTACAATTCTGAGCACAGGGCTGTGCTAAGTAAGCCCTCAGTAAATGCTTAATAAATTGAACAGAGTCCAGAAATAGCACATTAACTTTGAATTCTGATCTCTTCACAAACCTATTTGCACTGTTCTCTTGCTTAAGAAACTGGAGACAAAATTTGTATTTTTTTTAATTAAAAATCAAAATTAACATGGACTAATAAGTTGTTTAAAAATGACATCATTCTGATTCTATCAAGTCCAGGGACACCACAGGGTCTCTTCAATAACATCTACTGACACTTAAAAGAAGCAGGCCTAGCCACCCACACAAGAACAACCAAGTGGATGAAGACTGTCAACTGTCCAAATTATGACATGCAGCTGGATGCCTACTGTATGAGCCCAATACTACATCTGTCTTGGTCAAGTACCATTGAGCAGTGGTATCAAACTCAAACAGAAGTGGATGCCCTTGGGCTACAAACTGACTTAGAAAACTATTTTGTTAACTATTTCTCCATTACATTTTAATCAGGTTTGGGTACATGTGGGAGTTGACAGGCCACCTGTGGCCTGCAGCTCTGATGTATATGGATAGATGGTATTTAAGATGGGAAAAGAACTTCTGTTAAAAGTGTAAAGCAAAGCCAGATGAAAAAACAACCCACAGGGCAGCTGGGTGGCACAACAGATAGAGCTCCAGCCTTGGAATCAGGAGGACCTGAGTTCAAATCTGACCTCAGACACTTGAAACTTACTAGCTGTGTGACCCTGGGCAAGTCACTTAACCCTGACTGCCTCACCAAAAACCAAAAGCAAAACAAACAAACAAACAAACAAAAAAGAAACCCAACCCACAGTTGGGTCTCAAACAGAGGAGATCTGGGGATCTGTATAATCCCTTCAATGCTGCCTACTTACTCAACACAAAACATAAATAACCTCCCTGTGATGCTCTGTGGCTATGAATTATGGGGAGAATCCCACAGTGAGTGTAATCACGGTACTAGGTCAACAGTGCAGGAAGAGGTCATTAAAGAGACAGCAAAAGACAGCAAAAGCATGCATGACCAGAAAAGCTGGTAGGCTGGTCCTGTGGCACAAGTGAGGGAGGGCAGCTGGACAGATCACATTTTGCACTGCTATCCACAGACTATTAGAAGACCTAGAAGAAGGTCTTCAGGAGCCTGGAGAGATGCTCTGTGAAGGACGACTTTAGGGAAGAACATGAACAAGAATCAAACAGGATGAGAAGACAAAGATGGGCCATGCTGGTTAGGGCAGAGCCCAGGCAGGGATCCAAGTTCCCAAATAATACAATACACCTTTTTAAGTTAACCACAACCTTTGTTTAAAGATGTTACCTGACTTTTTTAAAAAAAGTGAACCAGTGAAAAAGGCCCAATTTTTAATTTATAGGGTTCCCCCCCCAGATTTCCAATATACCTTTAATAGCAGCTCTCTCCCCATCTTCTTAAAAACAAATCTATTTGCATGAGAAACTTAAATCAGGACACTAGCAAGAGGTACGCTATTGATTCTAGAACTTGAAGTGGTCAATGAAGTTTTATCAAAATTAAAGAAACTAAGAAAAGTACTTTGCAAGTATAAAATCATCACATAAAGGCTACAGAAGAGGAAGCTCTTTCCTCCCCACTCAACACTGCACTATTCAAGAGGGAAACAAATGGATGATGACTTTGGAGAGAAGAGCTGAAAACCACAGAAAAGCAAAACAACTCTACAGCCAGAACAATAAATACAAGGGCAACTGACACTTAATGGTTACAAAGCATTTGACAAACTCTGGGTCTCGCTTAAACATAGGAACACTGACTGAACCTACCTAATCCAACCCCCTTGTTTGACATTTGAGCAAAGTCAGGTAGAGAAAGCTGAAGCGACCTGCCCAGACTCACACCGAGAGAGAGGGATAGAACTGGGCCTCACACCCGAACCTTCAAAAAGGAGACGTGGAGACTCACTGATCTTGGATAAATCAACAAGATCGCCATCTCCTCCCCCGTAAAATGAGGAGGCTGGAGCAGATTTCAAGGGCGATTCCCTTGCTAACTCTATGCTGTGTGACACCAGTGCCAGAGTGATTTGCACTATGATTACATCAGACCTTGTCAGTCTAAACGCAGAGAAAAGACATCATCCCTCAAAAGGAAGTAAAAAAGCATTTTACCTGCAGCGTGCAGCTGATCAGCCAAGTCATATAACAGCTTAAAGTTCTCCCCACTCTTCAAACCACGTCCTTGTAAAAGAACAAAGCAGAATATAAGCCCGGTATACAAGCCTGTCTTAAATGCTTCTCAATGAAGAAAACTGTGCTATTGTTACTATCAAGCTTACAATTTGGTAAAGAACTGCACACAACACTTCGAATCCTGAATCCCACCTTTCCCAATGTTCCTAATCATTTGCTACTGAACACTAACCTCCTCAGGATGGTTTAGTTTTGTTTTTTTCCTGATGGACACAACCCATTCTGGGTTGAACGGGTGCCAATCTAGCAGAACACGGCTACCCATAGTCACAGGGATCTACAGCTTTTTTAAAACATGATACTAGGCTATCACAATAGCAAGTGTGACCTGCCTGCCAAAGGCAAGAAGTATCCAGGTCCTCATGAGAATAATGTGGGCAGTTTGGGTATATAACATGTATAAAAGGATGAGAAAGAACTAGACAGGCAGCACAAATGACTCAAGATGTGAAGAATATGAAGAAAGATTAAGAGACAGGACATTTTTTCTGATGGAAGACAATGTTACAAAGTGTCTGACAAATGTCTTTCCATACACAAAAGCTATCCATCCCTAGCCAGTTACTTCAATCTCCACTGAGAAGTTTAAAAAAAAAAAAAAAGATGAAGAAGGAAATGGACTTAACATGCAGCAAGGAAGAGTTTCCATAAAGAAAGATCCAAAAAGGAAAAAACCCTTGAAGGGCGTAATGAATCCAGATTGGAGATAATTTCAAAAGAAGATAGGCGTCGCCTCTCTTAGATGGGATGGCTAAGCCCAGTAGCAGAGAGTTAGACAAAACCACCACATGAGGTCTCTTCCTACCACTACTGTCTCTGAAATAAAACCCAACTTTCTTCTGCAGCTAAACAACAGAAATCTGTCAGTAAGATAAATACATCAAGTAGTAGATAAAGCTGCAGAAATGGAAGTTGTACCACACTCCCCCTACTGCCATTCACGAAGATTTACAACAAATGGCACAACGTATGTATTAAATTAATAATTTATTGCACTCATCTAGGCCTCAATTTCTTCTTCAGTAAAACAGGGCTACCATCTATCACCCATTTGTCTCAGTACTTCTTAAAAATAAATATTGAATAAATTCAGCTCCTAATATTGATTACAAATAACAATCTTCTACTTACCACCAGACACCACCACCTTTGCACCAGTTAGTTCGGGCCGATCACTTTTTGATAATTTCTGCTCAAGCCATTCCGACAGCTTCACTGGCGAGGTACTGGGTGCTGCTCACATCAATACAAACAACAACTTGCCTATTTATGGATCTCTGTACGTGCATAAAAATCTCTAACAATCTTAGCACACAACACCCTGACATCATTAGTGGGATCCTCAATAATAGGAAAAACAATACCAATTCTACTGAAACATTTTAAAAGGGTAAATGATGTCCTATCATGGTTTCACAACTTTAGTTTGTGGTGGGGTCTATTTGCAATGTATTGGCAACAGTCCTGCTAAACCATACTACTCATGGGAATCTTACCAGGGATATGCCTATGTGACTTTAATAAGAGAAACGTACACACACACTATATTCTGACACAGCTAAAGATTAACGGGTCCTCAATGAGATTTTTGTTGGGTTTCAGGTCACATTGTTCCAGCATAATGAATGTCCTAGCATGATAGAAATAATAAATGGAGAGAGAAAGGCAACCTAATATCAATACAAAAGACTAGACTTCAGGGCATTTCCTTCTCCCACCTCCCTCTACCCACTCAAACTTGGATCTCATCCCACCTCCCCCAGGCCAAAACTATCTTGGGTAGTTGATAAGTAATGCTTATTATTCATACATGTAACATTTATCTCAAAAAGGCCACTTGGATAAGCCTTCTCAGGCATGAAAGAAGTACCTGTAACAACTGAATGGGAGGCCACCTCCGATCCCAATACAATCTCTCATTTGTGTCTGCACTGGTTGAAGCCCATCAAATGAAAACCCAATACCCACCATTCTCTGCACTGGCACTCCCCCCACTCGTGGCTGCTGCCTCGAATGCGGTCCCTCGAACGGAGAACACCTTGACTTTCTCCTCACACTTCACAGTACATATGGCATTACCTAAAACAAGCAAAATTCACATCTAGAATAAATGTTCTTAAAAGTAATGGTACAAAGGGCTGTCAAATACTACTGGTAAGGCTCAGAAATTACGTCTTGGGAACAAAACAGGAAAATATTTAGGGTAGGCTTTTTGCCAAAAGGATTATAAAGAGAGCTGGCTTTCTAAACAGAGATCTTATAACCTATAACTTGATTACAAACTGCAACAAATTGACAACAACCATACTACCATATTTGTGCTTGAAGAGGAAACATATCCCATGATCATGGAAGCAAGGTGACATTCAAGAAATGCTCAGGTGCCCCCTTTTTAAAGTACTTGAGAGGCTTTCCATGGATTAACTATATCACATTAAGAAGGAACTAACCTATAACTAATGCTTCCCCTGAGCATTACTGAAGATGAAAGGTCTAAGTTTTGAGAATTGACCATTTGTAAAGAAACACATAACTTTAATCAGAAAGAACAAAGAGTCCAGTGCTTTCCCTGCACCACAAGAGACCAGAATATATTGAGAGATGGATCAATCAGCACAGGAGATACTGAAATGAATTTCTTAATGGAAATGGGAGCTAGAGAAGCATGGATGGAAATAACAAGGAGACAAGGCTGTCCTGGCCCAAATGGCATCTCCAAACCCTGGGTCCAGTTCTTCCCACCCATAGAAGACGCACTGTCTCTGAAAGGGAGGTGGTCCAGGTGAAGGGCAGAAGACACAGCTGCTGCTGCATTCCAGAGATACCTGTTCCCCCAACAGCCTCTCCCTAGAACGGAAAAGCTCAGACACACAGCCTGGGGACAAAGCTTTTGGGCTGCTCACAGCAGCAGTGGCTGCACCTTGGAATAAATGAAGAGCAGACAAACGGCAGTTTCTCTCCCCCCGCCCCTGCCTCAAAAGGCTTATAACTTAAACAGGGAAGGGAAGAAGAAGGTTGTCTGCTTCCACCCTAAGGTCAGTGCCTCAGCAGACAGGGGACACTGCAGCATAGCATGGAGATGGCCCTTGGCTCTCCAAACCTGCAACAGGGAGCCAAGCTCAGGATGTTACTGAGCTAAAACACTGGGAAACAGTAGGATCCCAGTGACAGAAGGTATCTAGACTGAGGTCCAGACATGGAGAAGTTCATCATCTGAGTCACCTGAGAGCTAGCCAGTGGGCAATGTATTTCAGAGCAGGGAAAGGGGGAATGACCCATCCAATAATTAAGCTCTCTATTAAGATAAGGAGTGAAGAGGGACACAGAAAAAGTACACAAAAGAAACCACAGATCAAGTGCAGTATTAAAGTGGAAAGACTAGCAACTTAAATGTTGTCACAGTAAGGATAATAAGTAAACACATGACCACATGTGATCCAGGCTTCAGCTGCTACTAGAATACAAAAAGGACTGAAATCAGGCCTCTAAAGCAAAACCACAATATTAGAGTTCTCAAAGAGTTAAGAGAAAAACTCAATTTTTAAAAAATTTAAGTCATGTTTCCGAATCAGAGAACTCTTTGCTGGGGTTCTGAGTTTCTCTGCGTGGTGCAAATAAGACCTGAACACAAACAATTCAATCCATACACACCACCAGGAAAAGAAAGGCAGTGCCCAACTCCCTCTGCATACAGGTCACAGCCCCTTTCCTGGGAGAAGCCACTATGACTTTACCGTGGCTGGTCCTTGCATGGCAGACATATGGAAAACACCCTCAGCTCTGTCCTGGAAGCCTCTCCAGCTTGGAGGACACACCACTGCTTACATTCCTGAGACAGAGCCTTCAAGAGCCTGGACTCCTCTCTATGCCAGACACAGGCTCTGACTTTCAAATGCCCAGCTCATGTTTTGCCCTTTGCAGATTCAGAAAGCACAACAGTTCCCCAAAGAAACCTATACAGTGGCCCACTTGAAAACATTCCTGTATTTGGAAGACAATTAGGATATGTTGACCAAATACCTTTTCCTGAATGCTCACCTGCATAAATAGTTCTCACAAACGTATCTGGTGACTTGATTTGAATGATGTCAGAAATCGGGGCAACATCAAGTTTGGCTGCTACTCTGGGCAAAAGGTTCTAAAGATAAAACATGATTCACAAATGGCTATTACTGACATAAAAATGACTTAAAAAACATTTCACAATTTGAGTTTTTACCATATTTTGATTTCATGCTGTTGCTGGACATCTGAGATCCTTAGAGCAACCCGACTCAAGGGGCTTCTGTGGTTAAACGAGTACTGGCCATTACTGTAACAACATTATGAATTTTATGGGTCTTACAGTAAGTAAACCCCTTAATTCAATATACTGAATTATGACGTGCGAGACTTGCTTTGGTAGTTCAAAAATTCATCAAAATGCCTCTTGTTCGTTCACCAAAAGGACAGTTACAGATTACTAAACTAAAAGAAGAAAGGTTTGAAAACCAAATTTCAGAGACTAGTTAAATTCTCCAATAGTGCAAGGTACTCTTTGGATTCATAGGAACATAAAATTGTTTGATGGCTTATTAATTAAAAACTCTCTTTGACCACCAGGTGAGGATGCAAAGAGGTGCTTCAAGATTTTTCTTTAAAGTTCTTGAATGTTTCTGGCTTAATAAATTAAAGAATTATACAGAGATAAACGGCAGGGATTCAGATGTGACTTTCAATTTACACTTTAAAGACAACCACATACAAATTATGCTGTGCTACTAGCTGGCTTTGTGACCTTGCAAAAGGCACTTAAACTTGGTGGACCTCAGCTTCCTCATCTCTAAGAAGACGATAATACCACCTATTCAGCCTGCCTCACAGAATGGTTATAAAACTAAAATGAGATCCAGCGTGTGAAAGCACTGAGCATTCTATGAAGCATGACACAAAGTATGATTATTCAAGGGCAAAAAAAAAGCCACCTTCTATGAGGTTGATTGTTTCCTACATACAACTATCAGGTTCCGGCTCCCAGAGAGTCAGGGTCTCCACTTTAGGGTTAAATATACCTTGCCTCCCTCCACGCTCCACCTTTCTTCAGGAAGAGCTTCTCTGACTAACCTCGTCCTTTGACTAATCAGACCTGTGCTCTGCATCCCTTTTTTAAAAAATTAATTAATTTTGTTTGCAACATTCACTTTTATAAGTTTTTGAGTTCTAAATGTTCCTCCCTCCCTCTACTCCCTCCTCCCCAAGATGGCATGCAATCTAATATAGGCTATACATATATGATCATATTAAACATATTTCCACATTAGTCATGTTGTGAAAGAAGAATCAGAACAAAAGGGAAAAATCATGAGGAAGAAAAAACAAACTACAAAACAGCAAATAGTATGCTTCGATCTACATTCAGATTCCACAGTTCCTTCTCTGGATGTGGACAGCATTTTCCATCATGGGTCTTTTGGAATTGTCTTAGATTATTGCATTTGCTCAAAAGAGCTAAGTCTAACAAAGTTAGTCACTGTTACTATGTACAATGTTCTCCTGGTTCTGCTCACTTCACTCAGCATCAGTTCATGTAAGTCTTTCCATGTTTTTCTGAAATCTGCCTGCTCATCATTTCTTATAGTACAATAGTACTCCATTACATTCACATATCACAACTTGCTCAGCCATTCCCCAACTGATGGGCATCCCCTTAATTTCCAATTCTTTGCCACTCTAAAAAGAGCTTCTGTACCTCTTTCTCACAGATGAACTATTTCTATTATACATAACTTTTCACTCATTCCAATGTTGCATTTTAATCACATTTTAACATTCACATATACACATATACACACGTTATATAACCTGAGGCTCTGGGGTCTTGAGGGCAGGGGCTGTTTGCCTTTCTTATGCAGATCAGGCCTAAAACTCCCCCACAGGAAGTAAAAAGCTCTGTACAGTGAATACAGCCTGAGCTCACGTCTCATCCTGCCAAAACAGCAGGGGTTCTCCAAGCTTTCCTTCCACTCCTCCTCTCCAATGTCATCCTTTCTCCTCTTCTCCTCCCTCCCTCCCAATTCTCTTCTTAGTCTAACAGAGTCTCTTTACCTCAAACATGCCAACAGCTACAAAGCAGACTCCCCTGGGCTACATACTCTGGGTACTAAGAGGCAGCCAAACAGGAGCTATGACCCAAGGCTGCATTAAAAAAGTGTCCAGGACTACAGAGGTGCCAGGCCTGCTGCCCTCAGCCTTCCCCCCTTATCATTAGGAGCACTGAATTCAGATCTGGCTGCCACACGCATAAAGGAAACAGCTGAGCTGGAGGAGGGCAGTCAGGACAGGCCATAAGCAGAGAGGTGAAAGGAGGTCAGGACATTAGGCTAGGTAAGCTCAGGGACCGGAGGCCTGTCGTGTAGATGAGGGACTGACTTGTTCTCACTGGTCCTCGATGGCAAAAGCAGGAACCGCGGGTAGAAGCTGACAAGTGGCCACTGAGGCTTCAGAGACAATGTCCAACAATAAAAGGATCCAGAAGCAGAAGGAAGTGCCTCGAGAGCTCGGGGCCTCCTCCTCACTGGAAATCTTCAAGCAAAGGGAATTTCTGTTCAGTTCCAGATCAGACCAGGTGGCCCAGGTGTCTTTTGAGCTCTTAAGACTGGGATTCTTGTGTGGGGCAACCACTTAGCATACATATAGACACATCTGTTCAGAAGAGCACCTTTTCCTTCCCAAGTAATGCCTGTCCATGACAGTGGCACAGGAAGAGGACAGAGGACCTGAATGTTAATTCTGCTCTTGATTCTCACCACCTGAGTAACCTGGAGGGAATCCCTTCACCTGCCAAAGCAGGTGTAAGAGAAATAATCTGCAAGAGAAGTAAAATGGGCAGGGCAATCTGTGCAGAAGCTTTCAGATCCAAGCCTTAGGATCCTCCAAGTAAGTACCTTAGAGCAAAGCTCAGCATTCCAGAGTACAGAGTGTTCTAAGTGGGCTTAGTCAATCTACATTGAGCCACTTGCATTTACTGTGGGGGAATCTCTCACATGAAACTTTGAAAACAGACAGCCAACCTTCTTTTCAAAGATTCTCAAGATGTTTGTATTCCACCTCTAACTAACGGATGACGTGCTCCTTGGAGCCAGGGACCAGAACTTTCTCAGCTGCATCTCTCCCAGGACCTAACACATTGTCTTTTACATCACAGGTGCTCAAAATATGTTGGATGAATAGATGATGAATCATAACTCACAAAAGCACTTTCCTATAAGACAGGTAGTACAAACATTATCTCCATTTTACATATGAGGAAACTGAGACTGAAAGCTAGGTTAATCTGCCCAAGGCAGCAGTATATGTCAGAGCAGGAATTTGAACACAGGTCCATGGACTCAACTGGATTCCACTTCCAGTCCTCTTTCGATGACACCACAATGACTTCCAAAATATTACAACTCATGTTTAACTAGCACTCAGAGGTTTAGAAAGTGATTTCCTGTGACGTAGTTAATGGAAGTAATATTATCTCAGTTTACAGATGAAGAAATGAGCTCACAGACACTATTCATGTTTGCAAAGCTACTCAGTTGTAGAGCTGGGAATCAAACCCAGGTTTCCTAATCCTCAATCCCGTGCACGGCCCACTACACTATGGAGCTCCGCTAAATCAGCTGAGCTAACAATTTCTAAAGACAGTCTTTATGGAATGAAACAAAGGCAACCAATTAGCAAAATTATGTAGGAATTTGTAAGTTAATAGTAATTTGTTTTTCTACCACAGCTCTAGTTAGCTGCCTTAGTGCTACAATGTTTAAGGTAGATTGTATCGCCTTTTACCTATAAACTATCTATAAATTAATTGACAAACATTAAACTCACATGAAACAGGAAAGGTGCTCCAAGTGATGACTAAGCCATTCCCTCTAATGACTATCTCCAATCTGTCCTGTCGCTATCATATCCTGTTTGGACACAACTGTCTCCACACTGTCTCCCCCATTAGCCTGTGGGGAAGGGACGGCCTGCCTTTGGCCTTCCTTTTCAGCCCCAGCACTTAGCAGAGGGCCGGACACATAGCAGGCACTTAATACTTATTGACTGACAATATAATTCATATAGGCAAAAAATTAAGCTCCTCTGCTGTGAGCTTATTCACCAAAAGGCCTCTGAAGAAGAGAAACTAGCAATGAGAAGTTAAGTCCTCAATTTTTACCTCCCACAAGGAAGCCACTGATGGATGACGCCCCAGCCTCGGATGACAGCATGAAGTTGTAGGTTTGGGAATTAGACGAACAGGGTTTGAGTTCATACTGTATCATTTAACAGCCATGTAGCCACTTGGAGAGTCATTTAATCCATCCAAGTGTAAATTTTCATCTGTGAAGTGAGAATAATAATACCTGCACTACCTACTTTCTAAGATTGTTGGATGGATAAAAAAAGTAACATACATGAAAGCATTTTGGAAACTGTCGAGTGTGTTACGAATGGAAAGCACAGATAACCACAAAATGGCAACCACCTTCAATCACTACTGGCTAGGGTGAAATAGGAACATGAAAGTTGGAGGTGGAAGGCTTCATATCCCACTACCAACAGTCTGAACCTTCTGGTCAAATCGCCATTAGCAGTTTTTAGCAAACACAGTAACTTCCAAGTTTTAGCCTAGAAAGAGCTTTTTGCAGCAGACTTGGAGAGTGTGCAATGGGGTTTTGAACAGGACAATGACAACAGCTGAAGAAAACAATTTTTTAGCAAGGCTATTACAAGATGTCTGACAATATGGATTGGCTACATAAAACAAAGCTTGGTTTAAGTGTCTGGCTGAATCAAATACACATAATGGGGTTTAAATCTTCTAAAAAGCTATAGCAAAATCTCCATGTCCCATCTTCCCCTCACCTTCCCAAAGGCAGATGCTCCAGCACAGATGTGTGTGTAATTGAATTGCTTCTGAGTTGCCAAAATCAGTGATGTCAGTTCCTCTGAGAATAAAACATAAGTGACAAGCTTCAGAACACTCAAATTCATTCATACATTCTATTACAATTTAGACTCTGTTTCCCACCAAAAAGCAGCCTGTAACAGGCTTGTCTGGTCCACAGGAAAACCTCACCTGGAAGCAGTCCTTTGAACACATCATTCTGAGCTACCAGGACCTTGCTTACGCCGGCCACTCTGCACAGATCTTGGGCTAGCTGTGATTAAAAAAAAAAAACAAAAAACAAAAAATTCCCCATTTGCTTTAATAATTCATCTTGAAGTCAGAGTCAACAACTACATTAACAGGGGCACTACTACAAATACCAAAACAGGAAGATAAAACCTCGAGAGGCATCTTAGGAGCAATCTCTTTGATTAAGATAATACCTTGTAGCATCTAGAACGAGGGCTTCCACCTTCTGGCCAATACGGCCTTGGGAAAGTCACGTTAGCTCCTGGAGCCTCCTTTCCTTCATCTGCCACATGAGTCTAATACTGCTGGCATGTCCTGCCTCACAAGGTGGTTCTTGTACATAAATGCAGAGCTCTTCATTAAGGGCAACTATTATTAGAAGAACGAATGCTTCAAGGAAAAATTATTTCTTTGTATCAGTTAATATCACTCCACATTCGGTTTCAGAGACTTATTTGAGATAATTTCAGAAACAATCCTACTTTTTCAAATAACAATATTTATTTGCAAGTGAGATAATAAATGATTCTCTAAATAGGTGATTGTAAATCATGTGCTTTACTATTGGGCCTCATGGAAAGCAATATTTAGGACTTAATCTCTTAAACATTTGGTATGCCGGAAAGAGAACAGTCTCTGTAGTTGGAGGGTGTAGGCCTGAGGCCCAGCTCTGCCACCACAAATCATCTGTAGGTCCTTGGTAAGTCACTTACCCTCTCAACGCCTGATTCTCCTCATCTGTGAAGTGAGGGCTTGGACTGGATGATCTCCTGAGAGCCCTCCCAGCTCTAAGTCTAAGCTCCTACCTAGGTTTAAATAATGAGGAGACAACACCGCTGCCGAATAAAGCCGGTAACTCTATCTCCCCAGCTGACAAAGCAGAAAATCCAGGCCATCATATGGTCGTCTATCACTGCTTATAGTACCTGTATCTGTTAAGAATCAAGTCAGCAGAGTGTCACGGACAGAGCCCAACACAAGCAGGTTGAGCTCAAGTTTCTGTGCTAGGTTCCAGCCACTTGATGTGAAATTGTGGGCAGGACATCAATTCAACCAACCTTTATTGAGTGCTACTACATGTAAAGCCTAAGGAGATCACAATTTCAATTCAAACAGCACTGATTAAGTACCCACTATATTTATATATAGTACCCATGTAGTCGTTTCCTTACCCTTCAAATATGGGTTTCACACTCACTAAGGTTCCTTCCATACTTCATAGTCTAGAAGTTCATAAAATCATAGATTTAGGGATAGAAAGGACCGTAGAGGTCAATTTGCCCAATCTCCCATCTTACTGATGAGGAAACTGAGACCTATTGAGTTTAAGTGATTTGTCCAGTCACACACGCAGCAAGTGGCAGAGCCAGGATTCAAACCCAGCTCCTTACTCCACAACCTGTGCCCTTTCCACTGTCACTTACTGCTTCCAAGAAAAGTCACAAGTCTGATGTCTAGTAAAAAAATGACATGCAAATCAGGCCATAGTCCATTCTCTGAATGGGGATCAATTCCACCAATACATGGTCAGAAATGTTGGTGGAATGTTTAAGCCACACTTGACGAGAATATGGAGTCAGTTCAGTGTGGTGTTGGGCCATACTTGGTCTCATCTCCCTTTTTTTAACCTTTCAAAGAATAACATGACCTCTCTATACTCTTAGTCACTCATTCTGCTCTGCCTAGAGAGTGCAGTCCAAGTCGCCAAGTGCAAACCACCAGAGAAGGTGGCAGCCAGCAGTGAATGATGCTGTTGCCTCACACTCTGATACAGACCTGGAAGGCCACTTACATAAGACTCCAGTGGACAAGCCTTCCAGAGGGGCCATTACAGCACATTTAAATGAATTAAACTGAAGATGACTATTCCTTGATAGCTTCAGAAAAAAAACATTCAAATCAATGGAATTCCTTTCTTTATACTGATTAGAATTAACAAACACAGTCTTCTGTACAAAGAAACCATTGTGAGGAGTCTTAAAACAATCACCAAACAATTACCAACCGATCCTAAAGGACTGGCTTATAGTCAATTATTACAATAATTCTTTACCTGGAAAACCTGACAAACAGTAATGAGTACAACAAATCCATTCTGTTCTCTTTCCAGAAGAAGAAACGCTCAACGAGAGCATCCCCTGGTCTCTCCCTCATTTACAGCAGCATCAACGTAACTTTGGTTCTGGCCATTTCCTAAGGACCACTCTTGGTGGCCCTCCCTCTGAATGAAGAAGTTACTTGCTCTAGCTTACTTTAAAAGTTTCTCACCTTGTCACATTTGGTTCCAGCTACTAAACAGGACACTTCTCCACCAAGCTGCGTGGCTGCAGTAATAGCATTTAACGTGATGGGTGTAAGTGTATCATTCGTATGCTCAGCTATTACTAGGGTACTCTGAAATCGCAGCAATGAGGCCTATAATGAGAGAAAAAGGAAAAAACAAGGTTAGATTACCTTAATGACTCCCCCACTAAATACTAGACCTGAAGGAAATTTTTCCCAATATGCAAAATATAGTATGCATTTATGTAGAAGGTGTGCATATAGAAAGTATGTATGTGTATATGTATAGATTGTATGTACATATGCATATGGAGTATGTATATAGGGTGTATGTGTATAGAGTATGTATATGCATGCATGATGAGTAAATATATATAAGGAGTATATATGTATATGTATTAGACATAATGTATGTATGCATGAATGTAGTGTGTGTTTGGGGTATACATATGTATGCATGTGTGTAGAGTGGGTACATGCTGAGTATGTATGTAGTGTGTGCATGAATGTATGATACATATAGTGGATATTAATTAGTGTGCAGATATGTAGAATATACATGTGTGCATGCACTCATGCATTTGTACACAGTGGTTTTCAAACAGTAAAGCACTGTATAAGTTAAGTCATGACCTCTGACTCTGATGGCTAGGTCAGCCATCAGTTTAACAAACATTTATGAAGCATCTCTTACATAGGTAAGATTACCCTATTTACCAATCTAAACACTAATAGTATAGGGCAAGGAACTCCAGACCTTTTCGGTGTCTTGGACACCTTGGGTAGTTGGGTTTGGAGAAGCCTATGGATCCCTTCATAGAATAATACTGTCCTTAGCATCTATGGCCAGCCTCAAACCAATCCCAACTGTATGACCCTGGGCAGGTCACATTTCTCCGTGCCTATTTTCAGCCATAAAGAGAGGAGCAGCTTTAAGGAAACTTCCATTTCTAAATCCTGTGAACCTGGGACCCTAGGAAAAAGACTGTTTAACCCTCCATTTTTATCTTTATTACCATTCTATCACTAAAACCTCCACATATCTGCTTTAAAATCCCCTGATAAATGCCATATTGGATTTCATTGCTTAAAAAGTTCACACATTATTTTATAACTGTTTTTCCATTAATTTCTTCTTAATTGTGGAAATACTGGATATGCCTTACCATTATAATAGTCTGTAGGGATGGAGCATACCAGCTAAAGAAAGAATGGACCAAATGCTGTAATATTTCCATTCTGCGACCCACAGAGCTGTTTAAAAAAGTCTATTCAGAGAATCCAAGGGACTGGTTTTGAACCTGTTTCATGAAATGAATCACACTCAATAAAATCAATGCCAACTGTAGGTCCTAACTGATTTTGATCATCTCTCTCCAAAGAGCTGACTAGGGCAGTCTGTTCCAATACAGAGAACAGCAATTTTGTTACAACCACTAAGTGTCCAATATGAAAATTCCCGAAACCAGGAATGAAGTTGCTGACAGTGCCACATATGCAGGTGTCTAAATATTCCAAACAGCAGTCTTAGTCAAGGAAGAATTTCTGTGGGTTATTAATAAAAAAGAGAAAGCAGGCATTGGAATTGGTAATTCCTAATGTCTTCTCTGTCATTTTACTCTGGTAAGGATTTACGTCCATTATCTTTTCTATTCTTTTGAAATTTTTATGGGGATTCAGGTTATCAATTATGAACAGCACACAGGTAGCAGTGGAGAAAATAACCAAAGAGCTACACTACTAGAAAAGGAGAGCAGATCACATAATGAGGAGACACAGTAGACAGACAGCCTCAATGGTGTATAGGCACTCCTTTACCCCAAGATATAAAGGGTCAAGGGAAGGTCTTAGGCAGAAGATTTATGAGAAAACATATCTAAGGGGCAGCTAGGTGGCAGAGTGGATAGAGCACTGGCCCTGAAGTCAGGAGGACCTGAGTTCAAATCCGGCCTCAGACCAAACACTTGACACTTATTAGCTGTGTGACCCTGGGCAAGTCACTTAACCCCAATTGCCTAAAAAAAAAACAACAAAAAACACACACAAAAGAAAACTTATCTAAGAATTACAAAGAATTGAAAGACATGGAGGGCTTGTGATATTCACTCATTGAAGAAGTCCCCATACCAATGAAAGTATCCACTGAAGTACCAAACTTCTACAAACTGCTGAAACATTTTTTAAAAATTCATCCTCCAACTATCTTTTCAGACATTTATTTGTGTCAGTGCAGTTCTTGTCAGCAAACATAATTTGGAACAAGGCTAGCATAGATTTCAAGGAAAGCCCTGGAGGCACCAACTGATGCTGAGTTGAGAAAGACATTCCTGTACCTCATGGTGCATTATCCTCTGCTCATCTGGCCATAATGATCACATATGGTTTCCCAGAAAATAAACAGTGATTGAAATGGTGTAAGTGAATGACTAAGCAGTGATGGGCCACTAAGATTATAAGTTTAAGTAGCATCAAGGAATAGATTTGCCAACATGTTGAGAAGTTTGATACAACACAAAATGGGGGCTGAGGTTGGGAGAAAGGGCATCAAAACTAGCCACAAATCCCAATCTACGATGTTGAAGATTTGGGTAAAGCACTGTGCTAGGATCATAAATACAATTACATGGCACTACTGATCTTGACCAGAACAGCAAGGAATCTTGTAAAGCATTTGGGATTCAATTTATGTATTTAAGCCCCCAAGATATAATTTATGATTTAAAGATCAGTTCATCTGAATTGCCAGTAACAAACTATTTATTACTGATAGATCAGACACTATACTTTTGATTGTTTCATACATAATTTGCCACACAAATTATGCAATTTTAGTTAATCATGTGAAGGATAAATCCATGATTTGGTGGCAACAGGCCCATTTTGGTCATAATTTATTATCTTGTCATTGGATAAATTGGGTCTTATTCCTGAAGAATTTGCAAGTTTTAGAATTTCCAAAGAGAACCGAATACTGTTTAAGGGGTTAACACAAAAAATTAGCATGACTGTAAAAAAGTGTATACTTCAATCACTCAAAGTCTGATTACTAATGGTTCTCCAACAAGCATTATTTGTTCATGTCTCTCCCTATACATTAACATCATGTAAGACCCCCATTTGGGGGGTGGAGCCAAGATGGTGGAGTAAAAGCAGTGACTTGCTTGAGCTCTCCCTCAAACCCCTCCAAATACCTATAAAAAATGGCTCTAAACAAATTCTAAAGCAGCAGAACCCACAAAAAAGACAGAGCGAAATAAATTTCCAGTCAAAGACAACCTGGATGGTTGATCAGAAAGGTGTATCACCCCGGGTTGGCAGAGGAATGCAGTTCCGGCGTGGGCGAGCAGGCTACAGCAAACCTGGAGCAGGCCTCAGAGGACTGAATCTCAGGCAGCTATGGCGGTTTCCAGACTTCTCAACCCACGAATCGAGCTCGGCGGGGGGCAGCAGCTACCTCCTGAGCTTCGGGGCCACAGACTGAAGTGGAATCTAGTGGCTGATCAGAGAGGGATTTCAGGGATCTCTCTGTTGGTGCAGGATTCTCTTGCTTTGCCCGTGCTTGGATCTGGGTCACAGTTCTATGGGGCAGTCCTGGGGTGAGGAGGAGCATTGGAATGGTGGAGCTTGTAGTGGCTGTGGAGAGGAAACCCTCCTCACAGTTCCAAGACAGAAAAGAGTGCTCACAGGCCAGGAAAGAAGTAAACATCTTGCCCTTGATCATACCACCTTGGAAGAACTGAAAATTTACAGGTCCCTAGAAATATCTTTGAACACAGCTGCACAAAACCCCTGAAGCTTGGGACAGTACATTCTCCACAATGGAAACAGACTCCTACCTTAACAAAGAGTTTATAAGTCAAGTAATTGACTGGGATCCATAAGCAAGCAGGGCAAAAAGAGTCAGACTATATTATCTTACTTTGATGACAAAGAAGATTAAAACATACAACCAGAAGCAGACAACGAAGCCAAAGCTCCTACTTCCAAAGCCTCCAAGAAAAATACAAATTGGTCCCAGGCCATGGAAGAGCTCAAAAAGGATTTGGAGAAGCAAGTAAGAGAAGCAGAGGAAAAACTGAGAGTGATGCTAAAGGAGACCCAAAAAAATACTGAAGAAAATAACACCTTAAAAAATAGCCTAACCCAAATGGCAGAAGAGGTCCAAAAAGCCAATGAGGAGAAGAATGCCCTAAAAAGCAAAATTAGCCAAATGGAAAAGGAAGTCCAAAAGCTCACTGAAGAAAATACTTCCTTAAAAATTAGAATAGAGAAATTGGAAGATAGGGACAATTTGAGAAATCAAGGCACTGTAACACTAATCAAAAGGAATGAAAAAATACAAGAGAATGTGAAATATCTCATTAGAAAAACAACTGACCTGGAAAATAGATCCAGGAGAAAGAACTTAAAAATTACTGGACTATCTGAAAGCCATGATCAAAAAAAGAGCCTAGACATCATCTTTCAAGAAATTATCCAGGAAAACTGCCCTGATATTTTTGAATCAGAAGGCAAAATAGAAATTGAAAGAATCTACTGATCACCTCCTAAAAGAGATCCCCAAAGGAAAACTCCTAGGAATGTTGTAGCCAAATTTCAGAATTCCCAGGTCATGGAGAAGATATTGCAAGCAGCCAGAAGGAAACAATTTAAGTACTGTGGAAACACAATCAGGATAACACAAGATTTAGCAGTTTTTACATTAAGGGTCCGGAGGGCATGGAGTATGATATTCCGGAGGGCAAATGAGTTAGGACTACAACCTAGAATCACCTACCCAGCAAAACTGAGTATAATCCTTCAGGGTAAAAAATGGTAATTCAATGAAATAGAGGACTTTCAAGCATTCCTGTGGAAAAGACCAGAGCTGAATAGAAAATCTGACCTTCAAATACAAAACTCAAGTGAAATACGGAAGAGGTAAACAGGAAAGAGAAATCGTAAGAGACTTATTAAGATTGAACTGTTTACATTCCTGCAGGGAAAGGTGATATTTGTAACTCATGAGTCCTTTCTCAGTATTAGGGTAGTGGGAGGGAAAAAATTATATGTTTGTATAGACAGACAGACAGAGGACACTCGGTGAGTTGAAGATACAGGAGTGATATCTGGAAAATAAAATTAAGGGGTGG